ATTTCACGTACAGTTTGACAGGACGGACCAGCGGCCCCGTTCGTGATTTCGGAACTGTGTGCTCCAAAAACAACTTGCTAAACTCCCTAATCTCTGAAAAGCCTTCCTGGCCACTAATCTCAATCACAATTGCTGGATCGCGCTTCCCCGCTAGTTCGCTGCAGCGCGAGTGAAGCCACCGGACGGCAACCTTGCTGGGATACGATTTGCGGTTTTGCTAGCCTTTTGCTGCGGTTTTCCAGCGTGCTGTAGACACTTTTCTACTCGTTCTTCGTCATTCACCGAAGAAGTTTTTTAAGATTCAGCGCACCGTTGAGAATTGCCGTTGTGAACACGTAGAAAATTTTACGAAAGCGCAGTGTCGCAGGAAAAAGGCACAACTCGTCGAAGCAAGTTTCGCCACACCGAAGTGCCGTGTCTCTGTGCCTTCGCACGCTTGGATACCGACCAAGAATTGACGCCGTGTGAATGTATTTTGCGAGTGCAATGTGCGTGAAACCGATGCACCTCTGGATCAGCGTCTTACTTTACTCTGACGACTGTATACTGCGGCACTCGCGGTCCAGAAACGAGCTTATTCCAGCGTCCAGTAGCGACGGAAGAGGGAGGGGGGGGGGGGGGGGAGGGGGGGGGGGAGGTACGTCTTTTTTTTGCCTTTAGACTATTTACAGAATACTTCACAAAACAGCTCCTCATCACTGACCAGTGCTGGCTCATTATCAACCCACTTAACTGCATTTGACGTTTGAGCGTGGCTCGCCTATTTGTGATTGGTCAACGGATTGCCCACGACCATACGGGCCGCGCTTCAAAGATTTTCACTCTCGCCGTCTTGTACTTTTGCCTTCTAAAACCCTCCTTGCTCCACAGCTTTGATCTATTCGTGCTCTCATGTTATCCATTAGAGTAGACATGGAACATAGCCATGGTAATAGTACAAAAGAACACGCACAGATCTCCCCCTCCCCTCTTTATTGGTAGCAACTCACCGGAACAGCTGGACGATCCAGAACTCCGTGGCCGATATATATATATATATATATATATATATATATATACATACATATATATATATATATATATATATATATATATATATATATATATATATATATATATATATATATATATATATATATATATATATATATATATAGATAGATAGATAGATAGATAGATATATATATATACACTGTAAACGACTTAATTTTCGCGGGCTCAAAATTTTCGCGAATCGGGCCAAAGATGAAATTTTTAAATTATTCGCGGGTTCTAATTTTCACGAATCGAGTGTAGTTTCCGTATAGCGTTCACATATTGCCCGAATTGTTCGCGGAACTATTTTTCGCGAATTGTAGGCGATTCGCGAAAATTAGGTCCTCGCGAAAATTTAGTCGTTTAGTGTATATATGTATATATAAATGATCTAAAGGCATCTGCGCGTGACACACGTTCAGAACTTTGGTGCGGCGTCGATTCCTGATGGGTATACAAGAGTGCGAAGGCACAAAGATGCAGCACTCGGCGTGCCAAGGAAGCTTTTATCACGTCGCGAGACCGGCGACACTTGTTTTCGATGAGTTGTACCTTTATATACGTACGGCCTAGCGCACATTACACTCGCAAAATACATCCACACGGCGTCGATTTTTGGTCGGTATCCAAGCGTGCGAAGGCACAGAGACACGGCACTTCGGCGTGCCAAGGAACCTTTGAACACGCCGCCAGACAGGCGAAACTTGCTTTCGACGAGTTGTGCCTTTTTCCTGCGACACTGCGCTTTCGTAAACTTTTCCACGTGTTCACAACGGCAAGTCTCAACGGTACACAGAGTCTTAAAAAAACTTCTTCGGTGAATGACGACAAACCAGAAGAAAACGTGCTTACAGCACGCTGGAAAACCGCAGCAAAACGCTGGCAAAACCGCAAATCGTGTCCCAGCAAGGTTGCGTCCGGTGGCTTCACTTGCGGGACCGGGAAGCGCGATCCAGCAATCGTCATTGAGATCAGTGTTCCCGGCTATGTGCCCGGTCTTCGCGAAAAATAGCTGATAGGGTCGGGTCCATGGTATAGTGAATAGACACGCTCGTCGTTTCGGTACTGCACAAAAAAACATCTCCAATCAAAACGTGCCGAAAAAAACAAACAAAAAAACCCACCAAATTCCGTCCGATTGTCGTGAAGTGACTAGCGTCGACAGTGTGTATTTGGTTATGCTTTTATTTGACACTGTTCTCAAATCCTGTGCGGATAACGCGGCACCCTGGGGTACGTAAAATATATTTTTTCTGCGATTGTTGGGACTCATTAGGTCTGTTCGATTCGACCAGAAAGTTCTGAACCAGTTCTGTCCGAGTTCAGAGGAGTGCAGGAGTCGTGCAGCGGCGGTGCAGAACCAGTGCAGCCGCCGCGCTAGGACTGGCGCTGTGATCGGCTTTCCGAGCGGAAACGCAGGGTGTCGTCTGCATCTGTTGGCTCTTGTTTCTCCACGCCACGTTGTATGCTACATTTAATTAGTTGCGGTTTGATGAGACCATTCGTGTTTCTTTTAAAGTATTATAACCGAATCTTTTCTGTGAATATTTTTTTTTTCGAGTGTACTAAAAACGTTTTCTTCGCGAAATGTGTTTCTGTTTGCATTTTTAACGGCCGTTCGGTTCCTGTCGTTTCCCTAAGCGTTCGTGTCCTTCACATTCATTTAGCAATAGTAAAGTCACTCCAAGTCTTTCGAGTTTCGCATTTCGACGATAGGTTCGCGGCATCAGGATGATTTTCCGTCGGGAGTTAGTGGTGGCGGTCACCTCGAAGACGACGGCCTGACGATAGCGTTTTGGCCAAAACAGTTATCGACCGTAACTTTGGCGTCAAGCTGAAGCGTTTATTCTGATTCTCAAGAAAGACCTGCGTGGAACTACCAAGCCAATTCCGATTCCCGGCGTTTTTCTCATGCCCGTTAGTGGGTGTCCACAGATACCAGCGGAATAAAGCATGCAGTATTATGCTCAGCTACGGGGTATGCGAGGGCCAATGTACTAAATCCCAGACATCTGCAATGTATCGGAGTCGTCAGTATGCATCCAAGAGCAACTGAAGTCTGGGACGATCAAGAGTGCAATACGTTTCCCGTGTCTGTAAGGAAGAATATCAACACTTTGGATCCCCACATAGCATCAAAAAGAAACATTTTACGTGAGCCAACATTTCAACACTTACCACCGGGAGCCAAACCTACACGAGCAGGTGCCTAAAACGCTTTCAGAATATCATAATCAATCAAATTCCTACCCTCGGTTATAATCTCAATTCCGCGTCCACTGCGGGTACGTTATTATCATAAATGAGAGGAAACGCAACCTCCGTATCGGCGTTATTCTTACACATCGCAGACATTTGAGCAAGAGCTGCGAAAAAATGGCACCGCGAGCAGAGACGGACGAGGAGTGTCGTCTGCTATAGCCGTCTGCTCTTGTCGTCTGCTTCTGCACGGACGCTGAACTGACTCCGGAGCCGGTGCAAGATTTTGAGGAACTGGGTTTGAACTCGTTCGGAACTGGGATGAATCGAACGCGCCAGTGCAGAGGCCGTACAACTTCCGGTTGAATCGAATGCACCAGTTCCTGCACTGCTGAACTAGTTCAGCCAGTTCAGGCGAATCGAACAGACCTATCTAAATTCATGTTGTGAGCGGAGAATACCCATGCGGTTCAGCTATCTTGTGTTGTCAAATATTTTTGACAGTTAAGACCTTTCTATATTGACACTGCTGAGTGTAAGGTGCGGTCAAAGAATCAAAATGGAATCAAACCAATAATCCAGTTGCATTTGTTTTGTCGCGCATGGGACTCATCAAAAATAGATTTTATTTGTTTCTCTTTGTTCTCAAAAATAATGCAATGGTTTTTTTTTTGTTTTTTTAACCTTCTAGGACATTCTGTCTGCCATAAAACATAAAAAAAACTCTGCCAGAGTGGTGCTATTGACGCCCCGGAATTACACCATCTTAGGCTGCCACAGCCCACTTACGAGAAAACCCACATCACGGCGCGGTCAGGCAACACTGACGTACACTCTAAAAACCAGGGACGCTCGCTGTAAATCGCTTTGTTCGAAACTGCCCCTGGAAAGGTCTACAGATAAAAGTAGATTCGAAAAGCGAAGCTCCACGATTTCATTTATCATCATCTGACTTAACCCACCTTTAAGTCCTTAATATCAAAAACAAATATACAAAATAATTAAATTGATATTAGTTAAGCATCGTCATCACAATAAGTAACATCGACGTCATCAGACATTTCATATGAAAATCATTCACATCGACATTATTGAGATCACATTCATTATCGTACAACGTCATCAAGACGCTTTGATGTAAAATGCTCCACTTCCGTATTATTCGAAAAAAAAAGATATATAAAGATACATGAGACGTTTTTACTTTTTTTCAGTGACCTAATTGTCAGTGAACTCATTATTGAAAATAAACAAATGCACCATAAAAACACTTTGAAATATGCTAGTCACTGGTAGGAGGCATTAGCACTCGCGGAACAAATTGAGAGTTTATTTCACTGCGGCTAAAAATACGCTTTCACATATTTTCTTGGAGATGCGGATTGTTCGACTTTGGCGTGCTATTTAAACTAGATCGAGATGGTTATTTAGGTCAGGTAATCGGTAATTAAGTTCCTGAGTTTCACAGTTTTTCCAAACTTCTGGTTTCACGAAATAATTGTGTCTGAGTGTGTAATCCGCAGCCGTATGGAGGTAAGTGTCGAAGAGTCTCATTTTTGACTTATTTGATATTTGACTTATTTGACTCAAATAAGTCAAATGTTGACTTTCTTGAGGGTTGTTTGTCCAAATTTCTCCCCACGCACTTCACCACAAAGTGCACTCTAAAAAAAAAAAGAAAAAAGAATAGATGCCGAAGAGCGAGAATGACGCCCGTTAAGTGCCCCAAGCCTGCTATATTTCGCTTTTTTTTCTGCTATTATTCTTTAGTCTAGCCAGGGAGACCAGACGCCGCCGTGATACTCGGGATACGCCCTGGGATCCTCGGGCAGAAAACGAGGTGGCACTGCGGTGGCGTTGTAGGCAGCCAACTTGCGCATCATGAAGCGAAGTATCTGCATCACAAAGTAAAGAAATATATATACATATATATATATAATTATACTTAATCATTGGTATCTCCCCAGAGAGCACATATGTAATTACGAGGCCCTGGAGATGTCCGATTCCAATTATGCAATTTTCACTGGCTTCGAAACTAGTGAAACCTCTTCTGGGGTCGCACTCAACTACTCGTGTTTGTGCTATCTGTAAAAGTGCTCAAACAGGTAATTACATTTATGTTAACTTTGCAAAAAAAGAAAAAAGAATTTTTAGTGCAGAAGTAAATTACGCATTACTGAACGCCCAGACTGGACGCAAATGTGCAGAGCGCGACACTGTTAGTGCGACAATCGCCGGTTTTTTTTCAGTTTTTCTCTTTGAAACCAAGGGATGTCATCCAAGTTATTATTGCTACGGAAAGAGCTCATTTAGTTCTATGGTGTGAGCGATAAAATTTCGTGCTCGCTTATACTATGTAGAAGTAAAAGGCGGAAATGCGCCGATGTCGTGTTCGCGCTAGCAGTGTCGCGATGTGTACCTCTAGCGGTTCGGGCAAGATGCAAAACATTCAAAGCTTGTCGTTATGTAGTTAAAAATTTATAGGCGAAGTTATAACATTTTCAAAGAGGAGATGCCTGCTGACAAGGCCCACGAAAGCGTGGAGATGAATGACGTCAAATACTCGAAACATGCCCTAGTGTTTCATTAAATATTTCGAAAAATTGGTTACGACTTTACAGCCACATAACGGCCGGATCTAAAATTCGACATCTGGTCCACACCTCTTTGAATTTAAAAATCATGAACCATTCCACTCTTTGAAGGTGGATGACCAGCGAAGTTGTTTGGCACACGCGACAGACGTAACATAGAATTCTGAACAAAGGTGCGAACAATCGCCACACCGAAGAGCCGGAGGCAACTAGACACGCGCGACGGGACTCCCACCCGGCGGAAAGTAGACACCCGCGACGGCACTGCCACCCCAGGAGAGCGGAAGGAAACTTGGCACGCAAGCGCTTCGAACGACGGCAAAGAGAGGGCGCGCGAGTTCTGCTGACGCTAGAGTAACTGTATAGGCTCTGCTTGCAGAGCATATACAGTTACTCTAGCTGACGCTAGAGTGCCTTCATGCACACGGCTGACGCACTGAAAAATCTACTGATCACTAGCCATAAACACAGCTTCGCTGTAAAATGTTGTGTAATAAGTCAACATGCAGTGCAATTTTGTCACTCTGATTTGCTCGTTTTCATAGAGGTTACATCGCTTGGTTTACGGGGGAAGAAAGAGGATGGATGGCCCGTTCTCAACCGCTATGCGGCTGGAATCGAGCGATTAGGATGCATTTTCGCCAACCGCTTTGGGTCTGATTTTTCCCAACCGCTTTCGCGAACCGTCAAGCCGCAACCAATCGCAACGCGACGCTAACGTGACGTCGGTGGCTTTCGAAACAAGATGGTATCGGTCGCTGGTGAGGCGTCTAAGGCACTGAAGTCCTAGCTTTGCAGCAGACAAATAAACGAAGAAACGTGATGTTCATTTCCGCGACTTGAATTCGCCGCGAAAATATTTGACTCGTAATCTTTTCGGGCTTCGCTCCGGTGGTTAGGTTCGGGTAATGTTTGTTTATTAAGGGAGTGACAGAGCTTGTCGCTGTTCTGCCTTGCCTCTTTGCCCATAGAACATCGAAAGCCGCCCCCGATCGACCAAAATGACAGCTTTTGTGCACACTAAAGCAGTACTATGAACTACTGAAAGCTTTTGACACCGTGCATGACCAACAAGAAGGCCGATAGAGACGTCGTGAGCCTAATTGCGTAGTTAACCCCACCGCAGAACTGGTAGGGTACCTGCTCTAGCTCGGCCTCATTTCTACTACACCAAAAGTAACAAAGAAAGCCTATTCAAGAATTAAACTGTATGTACCAGACAAGGCATAGGTAATCCAAACAGCGTTTGCTTCAGCTCAACGTCAAACAAACAGCAGACTCGACCGCCGTGTGAGTGAAGAGAGATGTCCGTTGGGGGGGGGGGGGGCAACGAAGCCGTGACCGGTTCGCACCGAGCACATTCCCCGCACCACGGTCCATAAGAGACGCTGCCCACTACTACGAAAATAATAACAGCGAACAGTGCGGTGCGAAAACTGACCCTCTATCGAGAAAACAAGGTCAGCTATTCATGCGAAAAGTGTCCACTTCAAAGATAGGGTCGGGGGCATCCTCCTCTGTGTCAGCGAGGCGCACCTAGCTGGGGTTTGCTCGCGTACAAAGTCAAAAGAACTGCAAACAAAGGTTGAAGGTTCGTGTCTTTTTTTTCCCCCGCTGCCTGAACTCGTGATGCGTGCGGACATAAGAAAAACTTTCAGTACCAAAATAGCAAACTTTTGGCTTTGGATCGTAGATTAAACTAGATTTTGGATTGTAATACAAGGTTGCCGAACGCAAGCCTCAAAAGATCTCGCGTGATCACCGAGAAACCGTAACCCGCGTCTCGCTCGTGAACCCCATCCGCAGCCGCTTCCCGGGGAAGTCAACAAGGCAAAAGTTCCTCGCAAACTTACTCCACAAACCTTTTTTTTTTTTTTTGGACGGACGGTTGGTGTTACGTTTGCGTGAAGACTGAGCGTTCACTATTTTTGACGTGCTAATAAAAAAAAAACAAAAATTTTTTTTTTTAAATTCTCGCAGTTTTGTGAATGACGAGGACGTTAAGACGCATTCCCCGAACATTAAAACCTGGAGTGTGAACCTGGTTATAACGTATTTACTTGATCCGGTTTCAAGAGCAGAGGGCGTTTTGTCGGGTACACATCCATGTGATCTGCACTCTAACTGAGTTCCTTTCGTCAATTACGTAGGCTCACATAAAAGATGAAAGGAATAGGCGCACATGCATATTTACGAGGCGCACTTACAATTGGTTGAGATCCTGCCAAATTGTTGAGCTCGCAGGGATCTCGCGCAAGGTCGAACAGGTACGGTGGCTGAAGAGCCACGAAGTTGTTGGTCAGCCAGCGTTCGCGGCAGTCTACGACGGGATTCTTGCTCCAGTCCAGAGGAGACCAATCCCGATTCTGTTTCCTGTAGAATGTCTTGAGCACCCGTGCCACTCTCGAGTCCTTCCTCAGCTGGGGGACGTCATTTGTGGGACGCGAGCCTCCGGGGAAAGAATAGCGATCGTCCAGTTCTTCGTCGAACCCTTCGCCCACCACGAGTTTGTAGTTCTTGTACCGCAGTCCTGCGAGGTTCTCCATTGGATCAATGGTGAGGAGAACTTCCTTGCGACTAGAACCAAAGCCCAGGGTTAAATATCGCCACATGTCGGTTCCGTCCATTGATCCCAGATTCGACACGTCACCACCTGTGAAAATGTTTGACACACTTGTTGTATACTTTAGGCTACAATCACTGGACGACATACGCATATTCGAATCCCCCCCCCCCCCAAACACACACAAAATATGTGCCATATTTTTCGGGCTATAGTCCACACCCGGTACATAGTCCGCAGGGGCAAATTTGGGGTCAAAAATAAAAGTATTTGTTTAGATACTCCGCGTCCGGTACGTAATCCGCACCCCGTGGACAATCCGCACTTAGTGCCTAGTCTTAACGTAAAACGTAACATGCAGAGCACACCTTCACAAATGCCTACTATATTAGCTCACAAAGAAGCTTTATCATACATAAATCGACATTAATATAGTCCGTTACTCATAAAATCCTTCACAACTTGTCATGGTGAACGATCTAGAAAAAAACAAACAAAAAACAAATCGTATAGTTCGCACTTCTAGATAGACCGCATCGGGTGAATTTTCAACTTCTAAACATGTATAGTCCAAGAACTACAGTTCAAAGAATACTGTAATTACAAAATTTTTCTTATAGCAAAAAAAAAAAAAAACAAAAAAAAAAACATCATTGAACGTTTAGCTTCCACCCAAATGTAGCGGGAGCGGTTCGGACCTGATGGCAAATTTTTAGAACTAACAGTTTTCTCATTCAAAAGTTATGTGATTTAATGAAATGAATATTTTGTTGAGAAATCGGTTCCGTTTTTTTTTTAGTAACTCCCATTCAAGTTCACATACTCGAGTGCTCCGTCGACCCCATTTGGCCATTGAAAATATCAGAAAATCACGTCTAACGTTTTGATAACATAGCGGTTAGTTCTGAAATGTAGGCATCGGGTTCTCACTGCTAGCGCCACATTTGGGTGAAGAATGATCGTTCGGAGATGCGTAGTGTATTTTTGCGGGAAGTAGAAACCCCCTAATTTTTTTGGGGAAGGACACCCTGTACATAACAATTCAGCCGGAACGCTCATCAGCGGGCGTCCTCTAAGAATATCAACCAGTGACAAGGGCTATTAAAACCATACTTTAATTGTCAAACACTTTTAGTGGCAAAACAAAAATAGTTAAACGACTCTTTACCACTTAGTTTCAATATTTAAAAGGACACTATGACACTCTAACGTATTCCCTTGCTTGATCCGATTAAATAACCCTCAATTAATATAGTTTTGAGTGCCATCATTAGAAGCTAGTGTACCTCTTGTCTCTTCCAACTTCATTTCGGGGAAATAAAATTTATTATAATTCCATTCATATCAACTCATAGGAACGGAGATAATGGGCCCATTTTCAATCCTGCAGTAGCTACACTGTTTCATTCTATTTCTTTAACTCCTCAAGGCAAAAAATGGTATAGACTACACACATTGTGTTTCCGGCAAAAGAAGCATAAATCTGACGTAATCAAAAGCATAAACACCTGCAATAATACTCGAAACGCATTTCAAAAGTTCTGATTCTATTAAGTCTAGAGGTGGTCGCACAAACCGCTTGATAGCACATCGTGGCACTGCAGACATTGATCGCGCAACCAAACGTAAAATGCTCGCACCACACGACAAAAAAAAAAAAAAAAAAAAAAAAAAAGTAATTTCGTTGTCAGATTTTTTGTCCTCCCTTTCTAGAGGGTGCATAGGAAGCGTGTTCGTTTGTTAAGGCCATAAAAATGTAAAAGTCTTGCTTGGCGCAATCAGAAACTATTTTGCTGTCTGCTTCGAAGAACACAACAGCACCGTTAGTACTACGCTGTCAAAATAATGTCGCGTATTCCTGCCCTAAATCTTCATGCACTGCTATAAGACGACAAAAACGCCAATAAACTGCAATCGGATCGGTGCCACAACAAGGCACTGCATAGCCGTGCCATAGAACCTTCCTTAAATCCTATAATTTTACGTTTACGGATTGGTGATTTTACTTTATCAGATTGATAATTCGAATTTGGATATGGCGAGAAATCTATCGATTACTTACCACATTAAAATGACGTTTTGTTTCCTACAGTGGAATATTAGAAGCTTTGCAGTGCTAAAATGTACATCGGTTCATAATGTCCGGACATTATTTGTTTATTACCTGGAAACGTATAATCTCAAATTATTATTCGGACAAGAGATGGTAATTTTGCTTGGGTACCTGTCCGAGGTATGTAGCTCCAATGCCATTCAAAATGCACGTCGCGATCTCTCTGTTTCAGGCATTTTACGGCGACCGATGTGCCTTGCTTATTCCCCGCTCAAAGGGAATAAGATTAAATGTTGTGGAATAAAAGACCACGACAGTGATAGATGCAGCGGTTCTGCGGAATTAAATGACGACACCTACACAACGTTTCACCACGATGGACTTGGTTGTCCACTGCAGCCAATCGTAATGGTGGCTTATCACCGCTGCTTTAATCACGCATGATCACAAGAGCCGCCTTGTCGCGTCTCGCGGCGCCACGAGCAATATATCATCCGTATACTAATTTTCAGTTTACGTTGATTCACTGGGGACGCCACTTTCATCCTCGGAAGACCACGAGCCGGTCAGACAGTATAGCCGTCTAGCAGCTTAAGTGCAACGATGCTGTTTCTCGAGCCCCTTTGACCGCGCGTTGGCGTGGCGCCGGCAGGTTGTAAGACCTAGCTGAAGGCCGCCACAGGTCGCAAAAGAACCGAGCCCGTTCCATTTTCGTTTCATTCTGGGTAAAAGGCATCCAATGCTATTCCCGTTCCATTCCTTTCAGCACTGCCGCACTTGCGTTCCGATCCCATTCCGGGGTCGCCGAGGGACGGAATGATATAGGAATCATTCGAACTCCGGAGTTCGAATACTCCGATAAGCTTTATTTTAAAAAATCCAATAGTTTTAATTTGCGTAAATATCATATAATAGAAACTATTTTCTCTGGGGAAACATACTTGTTAATGGTCAAGAAGCTTAGAACATCCTCTTCGTTGTGGATGAGACGCACACATTTCTTTGGCGCACGCAGATCACGTTTACCTCGGCCTATAAAGTGGTCATATGTGTCTGTATCCAAAGATATTCGTGCATTGCTTGTAAGCAAATCAACATATATAGGAGTTCTGATCTTCCGGTGTGTAATTTTCTTCGCATCAACTTTTTCATTTTTTTTTTTATTTTAGTTTGTTCAGACAATACACTTTGTCTGGAGTACCAAGGCAAAAGACCAGAAGGTCTGACAAGGCTTCGGTACCGCTACATAAATGAAAAAATAAAAAGACAATGACACTCGTTGACAGCAGGGCACACTAAAATAAGAAACGCTTTTAAATAAAATATAAGGAATAACAAAATATACATATCAATGATATTTATATAGTCCACATTTTTGATACTATAAAAGTATACTGTAATACTAAAGCACAAAAAAACCTACAAAACAAAACAACAAAAGAGATAGCAAAGAGGATAAAACCAGATATTTCTGATCAGTGTGCAACATTTGTGGGCAAGAGAGTTTTTTTTACTATGCTTTTGTATCCGTTTAGCGATATATTTGACGTAATAAGTGTATGAAGATAACTGTGTGTATTAAGGAAGTTTGGAATTTGAAATGAGAGTGTTTGTCTGCCCATGTTTGTCCTGATTTTGGAGAGTAGATACTTGTCATTTCGAGTGTTGTAATGGTGGTCGGGTCTAGTGTGTGCAGATGGATAGCTAGGTTATTGAAGTCTATGATCATGGAATATGTACAGTGCAAGTTTATAAATGTAGAGTTGTTCAAAGCTCAAAATTTTATACTTCTCAAAAAGCAGAGCTGTATGTGCATCATAAGCAGAATTGTGCATTAGACAAACAGCTTTTTTTTTTTTTTTGTAATAAATTCAGATGTGTGATATTTGTCTTTCTTTTCTGACCCCAGACAAGAAAGCAGTAGTAAACCTTGGTATATATCAGCGCATAATACAGTTGGTACTTTAGCCATTCCGGTAAAATATGCTTTGCAGATGAAATTAGGCCTATTGATTTTGAGATTTCATTTTATATTTATTTACATGGTGTGTCCAATTGAGGCGTTCGTTAAACCACACTCCAACAAACATATGATTACTGACACACTCAATTTGAGCGCTTTCGAACTGCAGTTCAATATATGTATTGTGGGCGTGATTCACTGAGGAAAAAATTACATATTTTGTCTTTTCTGTATTTAGAGATGAACCGTTAGCCACGAGCCAGGATGAAAGTTCAATTTAGTATTTGTTTATTGTGGTCTCTAGTTCGCTAAGATTGGCTCCAGAAAAAAATGCATTTGTATGATCGGCATACAGTATTAAATATTCGGTAAATGGTATATTATGTATGTCATTTATAGAGACGAGGAACAGTAAAGGTCCCAATATCGAGCCTTGTGGTACGCCATATTTTATTAACCCTAGAGGCGATTTTATGTTATTATAAACCGTATACTGCGTGCGAGATGTAAGGTAACTTGTAATAAGCTTATGCGCAATCCTGCGTATGCCATATGCCTCGAGCTTTGAAAGGAGTATGTCATGTTTGATGGAATCAAAAGCCTTGCTAAAATCGATAAATAAACCAATTGTAAAACGTTTATTTTCAATATTACGTATTATTTTTTATCTAATGTGCAAAAGCGCTTGTTCGGTAGTTTTCCCCTTTTGAAAGCCATACTGTTGTTTGATTATGAGATCGTACCTAGAAAAAAAACAAAAAAAAAACATTTGAAGCCTTTCATTAATTGCTTTTTCAATTCCTTTTGAGAACAACGGCAACACTGATATTGGTCTGTAGTTTCCTAAGTCATGTTTGGAGCCACCCTTACTGATATTTGAAACTCTCGCTATTTTTTAATAGATCAGGAAAAATACCGTTTTCAACTATACAATTACATATATGAGTAGGAGGAATTGAAATGATGCTAGATACAAACTCAATAGGTGCTACTTTAAGCTTGCCCACCCCGCAAGCTGAATTTTTTGAAGGGACATTATAAACATAATTATTTTGTGCTCAGTTACTGGATAAAAAGCGATTGAGTTTGATATATAGTTTTTTAGGTATTTTCTGTGGTCACCAGGCTCACTTCCAGACGTGGATTCACCAGCTGATAGGAAATGAGTGTTAAATAGTGTGGCTAGTTCAGTTCCAGATAACGATTCCCCGTCTATTTTTAAATCGGGTAAGCAGTTGTGACGCGGCTTTAGTCTAATGATTTCGTCAACAGTTTTCCATATCTTTTTGGATCATTTCGCGCGTCTGCAAACTTACGTTGAAAGAAAGCTTTCGTTTTTCAAATCTTGGAGTTCTGGCGATTTCTATACTTTTTGAATTTCGTTAAAATAGTAGTATCTCGAGTCCGAACAAAGCGATCGTGCATTTTATGTTTTCACCTATCCTACGGAAATGTTCCTGCGTGATCCATGGCTTTCTAATTCTCCTTATTTTATCTCAGAGGAAAAGATTTCTCATAGGAATCCTTCAGTGTTCCATAAAATAAATTGTATGCCTTATCTTGATTTCTTTCACACCGGACATTTTTCCAGTTCCGTTCTTGTAATAAGGCACAAAATGTATTTAACGCCTCTTCCGGTATATAACGATATAAGCGTGAAGCAGGTGTATTATTAGCTTTTTTAATTTAGGCAAAATACAAAAAATGGGCATGTTATCGCTTATTCCAGCGGTTATGACTTCTGACAGTACGTCATATGGGTGGAAGTTTGTTATGCATGGGTCTAATAATGTAGATGAAGTGGCTGTTACACGGATAAGAGTATTGATCCTGTTGAAGCATGCAAAATACTGGATGAGAGTAAGAAACTCTACTTGGTGCGTATTTTCAACGAGTAAGTCGATGTTCATGTCACCAACAATTATCACTTTGAGACGGAGTGAACTTACATATAGTAAAACAGAGCAAACTTAAATGGTCATGAGATGGGAGCTGGTCACATTTTTGTTTCGCAAAATCCTCTTCCGCAGTAGCTCGTGTTGGAATTTCTTTATGTCCGAATGAACAACAAAGCAATACATTTGCCTCGAATTGAGAATAGAACGTAATGATTAATATGGTTCAATAAAAACTGTCATATATATTAAAGGGAACAAGAGCCGAGGAAGAAGGCTGAGCGTAGTAGAGCAATTATTCGCCTTTAGCCTTGGTACTTGTTTACAAAATGGCCTCTTAAGGTTTTTTCCATGTCGGCGCCTTAATTCTTTCAACATGTAACAAGGAATGATGATAATTATATTGAGGGTGATGATGGTGATTACTAGCTTCTATTATGTCGCTCTGCCACACTTCGAAAAATCATCTAAGTACCCTTATTTTCGTTGCACTGAGACACCCAATCATGGTGAACGAATAATCTTAGAGGGTCCAAGGGAGGGACGAAGCTTATAATTCTATTAGATCTATGAAATGGACTGTGCGCAGGTCCAGTCCGTTTTACTTGTTGGTTGTTTCTGCGCAAATTAACATTTTTCAGTTTTGATCACATTACGACCTTCGGCACTCGCTCGAATCCTTCCATTCTTCGACATGATTGGCAGACTCCGTGTTCTGCAGGAAAGAGAACTCGGAGACGTTTTATAAAGTGCAAGAAGGATATCCATCGGTTCTAAACTAAAAACCCTCACCTGCTGCTGAGTACAGCGTCGGAAGCCAGTCGCTGATGTGCATGAGCTGGTCGGAGACACGGGGCTTCTTCAGGAACCTTGAGCTCCAAACAAATGCCGGAACTCGGACGCCGCCTTCCCAAAGAGTGAACTTAGCTCCCCGCAGCGGCCAGTTGAAGCCCCGATTGGAGTGGGCACCGTAAGGTAATCCGCCGTTGTCAGAACTGAATGCGATGATGGTGTCCTCGAGCATGCCAGCGTTGCCCAGGATTTCCACGACTCTTCCGATGGATTCGTCAAGGGCGTCTAACATTCCTGGATGTCGCAAATAACTCACTATGACTGATACACCACTCGAAGGGTACAAATTATACAGTACGCATATGATACATCACTGGAGTAGAACGCGGCAAATCCTGAGCGCTGACATTGGTGGTTTTGATATAAATAATGAGAAAGAGAATAACAGAGAAGCGGAGAAAAAGAACAAATGTGTGTTACAGGGTGTTCGTTTCGCCGCAATAAGTTGAAGTTGTTCCAGTGCTTCTCAACTTTATTTAATCTTATAGAATGCGCGATGCCAAACTTCCTGGAAAATAAGCGAGGAAAAAAAAAACAACTCAAAACAAGCCATAGTCCTTCAAGTGATATTTTGCTGCGTGTTTCAGCAATATGGGCCCATCGGGAACGCCCACAGAGACAACCGATGTTCGCTCGTCTATGCCCCGCCATTTCAAAGCGGAAGGAGTGCATGGGACCTTTGGGTTCCTCTAGGTTATTAAAACAACTCTACAAAAAAAAATGATGTTGGACAAGAAGGGTAAACACACATAGGTTCACCGTCAGCTTTAGAAACGCGGGTTGTGGTCCATTATGATCAAGGTTCATGCTTTGTGAATCGTTTTTTGGTGTTTTTGTCCTCTTATGTCAAGCTTATCATAATGCTTTGCTTGGCTTGGTACTGGTTACCATCCCTGCGGATATCCTTGCGCCCAATCTCCGCCTGTACTTTATTGCAACTTCAGTCCGGACGCAGCCGACCGCTACGAGCTGATGGGACCAATCAGACAATGGCAAAAGGGCACCATCATGGTGCTCCTCATGTCTCTGTACGTGCACTATCATCGTTCAACCAATCATGAACGGAAAAGAACAAGCGACTTGCGCTTTTGACGCTGATTGATTGGTTCCATTAGCTCGTGCCGTCGGCTGCGTCTGGACTGAAGCTGAAACGAAGTATAGTTACACTGTGTCATAATAAAAGTACCGCGTCAACGCTTTTCGGAAAGAGAAGACGGAAATAATCGCAAGGGCGTAAGATTGGAACATAGCTAATTGCAAAGGTCGGAAAACGTCGGCTCGAAGATGCAATCTCAACATCTCACCCGTGCGCCTGGAAACCAGTATTCAGTGTGCTACAGTGACGTACGTCGCGTTCGTGTCACAAAACTTTGTATGTGCATATAGGTGTTGCTCACTGGCTGCTGGAAAAACGCAGCACCCACGCATTATGCCCATGCTTCTTGATTCGCGATTCCTCCTTTGATGCCCTTACTGCCTGCTGCCGTAACCCTATTGCTTGTGGAGCGTTAATGAGCTGCTAAGGAGTAGCCACACCATGCGGTTTCTGAAGTTACCATGGGCTGTAATGATTTTAACTTTTCCGCATACGTTTTCGCTTCTTTTGTATGTTTGCATTAAAAAATAAGAATTCGTGCAGTCGCTGCCGCTTAGCTCCAACTTGATACCTATAAACAAGCCTAAATATAACTGCAGACGCATGAGCGTTTATAAACACGTTGATAAACATAATTAAGCGAGCTTTTCAAAGGAAGCATTTGGGCAAGGGGATGGCGTAAGAAATTTTAATTTTAATTTTTTAAGGAGCGAAGCATCCGCCACGCCCCACTCCGCAGCCGGCGTCACCACCAATAGTCTTTGACATCTTAAAAAATGCTGGGCGTGGCTTACACACTCAGAAATAGGGGGTGTAGTGCTTATACTCCTTGCCCCATATATAGCACCCTAAAACTACACACGTTCATTCCACTGATGTTGAACCGACGATGCTAACTTTCACGAGTGGCTTACTCTTCGAGTGATACAACTCATTAAAATAGCTAGCGTACAGAATAAAGACCGCAAGAAAACACTCAAGGCTTTATTGACCCTGCTGCAAAACCAGTTTTTTTTTTTCTAGTCTGTGACGCAGATATTTGGTATTTAATAATTTATATCACACGGCTATTTAGCCGCTCGTAAAAGTTGTTATTGCGCAGTTCGACGTCAGCGGACTGAAGGTCAAAATGTAGATGTGTTGTGTAATATATGGGACGAGGGGTGTAAGTACTACGCCCCCTATTTCTGAAAGTGCATCATGTTCAAATATATTTAGTCCATCTTTGTCGTTCTTATCGCCTAATGCCGTATTCTCATTGGCTGCGCAACACCAGTAGGGTGGTCAAGACTTGCCACGCGCTGCATTTCGAAAACTCTCAGCGACTACAAGCGTGATGTAAAACACAGGCTCATGATGCTCTCAAGGACATGTTTTTTTTTCGCTCTCCTTTCTCCCGCTCGTTTTCATTCACCGTGATTCACTCAACACGTGCCGTGTAGGTAAGTGAACCTGTCTGATCCTTAAAAAAAAAAAAAAATCCTACTTAGCATGTAGTAGTTCGCAGGAGCCGTGCAACTGGCACTCGAAAACATTATGCATGACGACAGCACTCTTAGATATTCTCGCTTAAACACCATTTAATTTCACACTATTATTTTGGGACTCCGAGTGAATTGCGGTGCAATATGCACTCATAGATTATTGAGAGTGTGTAACCCTAATACATAGTTTAAATGTTCTTACTCAATTATATAAGGCATTCGAAAAAAAAAAAAAACTTCTTTTACTACGAGCATTTGACTATTTCTTGTTTGCTAGAGAGCATCGCCAGAATTAAAAAAAACAACAAAAACAAATAGTTAACAGTGTAATAAAATATATTAAAATGCAACTGGCAAACAGCCACACTCCTAGCTCCAGTAAACCTTACTCAGTAAATCCCGCAAATTAGAATTTATGCTGATCAAATAATCTCTCCTTGAAACAAGCCTAAACCGAAATTTTTTACTTTCATCTTACCGGCATAAAGAGTCCTGTTTGTCTCTCCTATATAAGGAAACTTGAGTACGTTGCGTTCAGGAGCTTGGAAAGGTACGTTCATCAATGCAGCGTGCACTGCCTGGTAACTGAAGTAGCAGAAGAAGGGCTGCGAATGCAAATTGAGCAGAACTTATTAGCAAAGGGTCCTAAAACCTGGACCACCTTTTCCTGCGAACGTCGAGTAACCAATTTTATGCAATCTCTTCTACGTTGGCATGGAGCCACATGAGTCAGACACGGTAATTCCCACTTTTAGGGGCTGTGAATTAGAATAGAAAATACGTTCTCAGAAGTTACTGTGTGTAGCCTGCCCTACTATGCGCAAATGACTTTGATCTATGGTCTCTCGTTAATATACTTTTCCAATGCAAAAGACAAGACGTTTTGAGCCACTTTGATATCAATAGAAAAAAAAAGGACTTTCTGGTCCTCTAAGCTCGTCAAAAACAAAGTTTGGGCCGAAGTTGACGCAGTGCACCGATTGGCCAATCACGACGATGACGTCACGCTTTTTTCACCGACGTCCAATTGGAGCGCTCCGCGAACTTTTGACTCCAACTTTGAGTTTGACGAGATTAGAGGCCCTGGTGTTGTGTAGCTTCGCGAAAAGTAGCACGCTGTCAGCAGGCGTAGCGAATAATTAAAGTCATAGGTACACTCTAAAAAACGCCTGCGCGTCTTGCTTACCCGCAAAGCACTCAAAAAGCCAATATTTGCAATCTACGAAATCAGCTCAGCGAATGATGAGGCGGGAAAACTGTTTAGACCTAAAAATGAAGTCTGCGCTGTGGCATTGCGCAATACAATTGGCCTCATACTTGCATTGCTTAATGCAACAGCCCGGACTTATTCTTGAGGTCTAAACGGATGTTCCGCCTCAACAGTTGTTGAGCTGATTTCGTGGATAGCGGAGGTTGGCTCTTCGAGCGTTTTGCGGGTAAGTAGACGCGCAGTCATTTTTAAGGGTGTAGTTGACAGCCTGATGTTCACAAACTTACATATCGGTAGGCCTTTCCAAGCAAACATGTATATATTATCAGGAGATTCTGCATGTGTACCGGCACAAATACAGCCGCAACACCAATCACTGCAGTAATCTTTATATCAATTCATTCAACGTGAAGAGCGAGGACAATCATAGATCGTGCGGTCTAAGTAAAAAACAAATGTGCACTTCCCTTTCCGTCATTCACCTTGCGTTACCATTGGCGCATGATACCAATCAAACCTTTTATTGGTTCATTTGAAGAAAAAACAATAAACTGTTGATTTGTGTTTGGAGTAAATCGCGGTACAGTATACGCATGTAGGAAGGGGCTTCTCAGGGTACAGTAACTTTAGCGTGGATTAAATAACTGACCGCCTTTCAATCGTTAATATGGGTGGGGACTGACTTGAAAAGCGTTTAGTGCGCCAATAACAATTGATTTTTTTTTGGTGAGGGGGGGGGGTGTGGATGAGAAAAACAAAATAATTGGATTATTGTGTTTTGTCTGTTTTGCCATCCGATTTTTGGTTTCACGCACGAAGGGAACCTGTTGGAGCTGTTCCAGGCTGTCACGCTCATTTCCGGTACTCCTCCATGTCACAAATCTTCTGCCAGACTTCGTCTCGCACGCCACGATCCTTTCTGCACATCTATTCAGCCTTTCATCCAACGAGACCTTTCTGTGCCTGTGGTGTGCTAAAGTGTTGTGCGCGAATATGCAGGAACGAGGACACCGGAAACCCCCGGCGCGCGCCAAGGACTGTGTCGTTTTTACGCCGAGCCTTGGATATCTTGCACCTTTTTCTCCCTCTCCGATGTCAGTGTCTTTTGTTTTGTGGTTCTCTTATATTGTATAAGAAATTGTAATTTGAGATTATCCTAAAGTAGCCATCAACCGAGTTTTCTATTTTCGCAAATATTGCATAGAACCACTCCGTAGCGTTAATAACTGAATAAACTCGCCTCAATTTTAATTTCTAAACAATGGCAGTCGCAAAAAAAAAAAAAAAATCGGGAACGAGAGAGAGAGAGAATATCTTTATTGAAACAGAGAGTTTAGTCTGAGCTTTGCGCTCTAACAGGCTTCTCTGTGGTGGGGAAGGGGAGGGGGGACAGAAAGACGATCGACAAAGGGTCAATGATGATGAGATGAAACGTTAAATATATACACGCTGTAGTGTCTAGTTTCAGGATGGGATATGAGAGAAAGATGAGAAAAATAATTAAAGCACTGTCAGCAAGTCAATGTCTTCGAGAAATTTAAAGAGAGCTTTTAGGGCTGCTCGTTGTGTCTTAGCAGGCCAAGGTCCGAGAAGCTTTGGTAGATCAAAAGGTCTACAGTCCAGAGCATTCGTAGAATTTTTGTAAACTTTGCGTTCATTTTCATATGCTTGACATGTGAGTAGAATGTGTCTGATGGTTTCCGGCGCACCGCATTTCTCACAGTCCGGGGTCGCGCGTTGTTTTATATTAAAGCGATAGTTCTTCGTGTACGCACAGTTGAGGCGAAGTCTGTGTATAAGAGTTTCTAAATTTCGTGGTAGATCGCTTGGTAGTTGTGTTGTTAACAAAGGGTCTATGTCATAGAGAAATTTGTAGTTAGAATCTGGTGAGAACCAAAGCATCTCACGTGCACTTTTTGCTATTTGTCTTGTCAGAAATGTGAAATCGCCTTTCGTAAAAGGAACCATTCGTGTTGAGATGTGCTGGTGGGCCCTCTTGGCTGATTTGTCAGCGCATTCGTTACCCCGTATACCGGAATGTCCTGGTATCTATTGAAAGGTTATTTGGTGACCGTATTCCAATGCTAGGTGGTGGTACTCAGTTATTTCTAGGGAATAAATCGAATACATTGATTTCTTTCCAATAGGACTGAGCGACTGTAAAGCGCATTTCGAATCTGTAAATAAGGTCCATTTTTGTGGTGGTTGTTGGCATATATACTTGATTGCTTCCTTAATTCTGTGAAGCTCAGCGGCTGTTGATGATGTATGATGGTTTAGACGACAAGATCTTGCAAGAAATCTCGATGGAACGAAGAATGCTGACGATGAAGTCGTCGCCGTTGTTGAGCCATCGGTATATATATGCGTTGTTCTAGTGTAAGTTTCATATATGTAACTCATTACAAGTTGTAGCATAACTAAGCTACTCTGTTGGTGCTTTGCGAGGATTCCGGGGATGTTTAGTTTAATATCCATTTTTCGAAGCGTCCACGGAGGTATTTTGGAGTAGTCAGTAAAAGTTGCCTGCTTTGGAATATTGTCAATATTTCGACCTAAAGTATCCCCATAGCTGGAGTTTGGACGTTTTATGTGTATTTTAGAAAGATAGTGATTCTTATGCTGAGGTTTATGGCGTAAATGAATTCGTACTATTTCTTGTTTTTGTAATACTTCCAAAGGAAGGCATCTGGCTTCTGCTACCGTGCGAGGTTCAGATGAATCTCTTGGTAGACCAAGGCAGATTCGAATGCATTTGTTAAGCGTCCCTTGAAGCTGTCGTTTACTCGTTAGGCTTATATTTGTTAGGTGTGGAATAGAGTGCCTTATTAGTCCTTCAACCAGAGATTTGTACAGTAGAATCATTGATCTGCAGTTACATCCCCAAGCTGTTCCTGCAAGGCAGCGTAGAACATTGGTTGCTCCCGTGATTCGCTTTTTTAGAGAATTAACTTCTTTCGTCCATGAGAGATTTCGATCAATGTTGATCCCTAGAAATTTATGTACTGTGACGTAAGGAACTGTATGTCCGCCTAAAAAGATCGGATACTTTTTCATAGATTTCTTCGTAAATGCCATGGCAACTGTTTTCTTGGGAGAGATCTGGAGGCCTTTGGAACCTAGAAAACTTGCCAATATATGGAGAGATTTTTGCAACCGCAGCTTTACAGTTAGCCTAGAGCGGGAAGTAGATCATACGCAGATGTCATCAGCGTATATGCTAATACTAACTCTTCGGGGAAGATGCTTTTTTAATGCTATCAGTGTGATGTTGAATAGAGTGGGACTTAGTATTGCACCCTGAGGTACTCCGTTGACAACATCAAAATAGTTGGAACTTCCTTCTGAAGTATCAATGTAAATTTTTCTGCATTTGAGGTAATCGTATATCCATTTATAAATGCGTCCTCCAAGTCCTAGATCTGCGAGAGCCATTAATATTGCCTCATGCTGAACAGAATCAAATGCTGCTGTAATATCTAAAAACAGTGCAGTGGTCGTGTGACCTTTGGCTCTACCTTCTTCGACACTCGTTGTAAGATCAATGATGCAGTCTGTAGATGACCGTCCGCGGCGGAAGCCATTCATTTGTTCTGAATAACATTTGTTTTGTTCTAAAAACCATGAAATTCTACCGAGTACCATTTTTTCCATTAGCTTTCCTACACAACTCAAGAGTGCAATGGGTCGGAAAGAATCGAGACTAGTGGGCGGCTTACCAGGCTTCAAAATCGGCACAATCTTTGCAATTTTCCACTCTTGTGGTAAGGCTCCTTTGATCCAGGAATTGTTGTAGTATTCAAGAAGTCTGAGTTTGGAATGTTGGGATAGGTGTGCCACGGCGTTATACGTAATGCCATCTCTACCTGGCGCTGAATTATTTGCACCTTGAATTGCTGCATTTAGTTCATCAATAGTGAAGAGCAAATTTAGACTTTCGTTTGTTGCAGCAGGTGTGGTAGGTCCCGGAGTCGAGATAGTACTACTATGTATGCCACCACTTGTTAGGAAAGCGCAGTAATTGTTCGCAGTATCGACTTCACTTTGATTTTCACGTAGTGAGAGTGCTTTAAATGGATATCGCTGCTGGGGGCTTCTCCTTAGACCTCTGATAATTTTCCATGTGTATGTAAATGACTTACGAACATCGAGATTTCTACATATCTCCCTCCACCTCTTTTTTGCTAATTTTTCGAGATGTCTCCGAATGTGTAATTGTGCCCGTCGTGAAGCTCGCATATCTACCGGGTCTTTTGTACGAAGAGCTTTCCGCTCTGCTTTCCGTCTTAAAGCACGTAGTCTTAAGTATTCTTGATCGGATCCATTTTCAACCTGACGCACAAAGGAAAAAAATGTTGCCTCAGTAAGGGAATATGATAAAGTTGGAATTAATTC